ATCGCTGGCTTGCGACCCCCCACTTGGAGCTCCCGGCTGGGGGACTGACCCACCAGCGGTTTGACTCCTTTGTCCGGAGCTTGATGCCGACGTCTGCTGTCGCTCCGTCTTCCGCGGCGGCTCCGTCTTCGATGAGCCCATCACCCACCATGTCGGCTCTTCCCCAACCACGAAATCCTCGGGGTACTTCTCCAGTTCCCTCTCGATTACATGAATCGTGCAGTATTTATTCTGGAAGAATTCGATCATGACGTCCTTCTCGGCCTTCTTCTCGATCTCCTTCATCCAGCTTACCCACTTGCGCCGATCTTGGTTCTCAGCGGCCCTGTCAGCCGCGTGCGTTGCCAAACTGATGGAGTTGATGTTCATCGCAGGCAGCTTCGACTCATAGATCATATCGATGCACCACAGGAAATCCCTGGCGTACTCAATCTCCCGGTAGAGATCGTTCAGCTCCCTTTTGTCTGGACGAAAATAAGCTGTATACGACTGATCTTTGGAGTCCTTCTCACCGAGCAATGGCTGCAATCTCCTCATGATGAAAGAGACGCACATGAGCGAATTGACCGCTCCGATGCACGCGTCAGAGATGTCACTGGGGGTTGACCCACAGATCATCCAGCGCAATAGGTTGTTCTGGCTGGCATTCTCATCCCTCCTTAGTGCATATGCAAGGTTCTTCATCGATGCCTGCAGCTCATTCTGGTAGATCAACCCAAGGTCCCAATTCTTCTGGTAGTCGTCCTTGGAACCACGACCGTAGGAGTCGATCTTGGGAGCCTTGATCACGCTCAACGTGAACACTTTCCCCCAGTTTCGATCTCTGTACCTTGCAATTCTCCGATCGGGCCTCTCAAACTCTGCAGTCGTCTGGAACTCCTCGGAGCTCCTCCACCTTCTCGATGACGATGCCCTAAATGACTCGTCGCTGATGAATTCTTTGTACACCTCCCCAACCGGGGTGTTCTGGTGGAATGCTGCTTTGAACGACCGTTCATCGTTGTCCTCGGCCACGCCTAGTGCGAGATCCCAGATGTTCGCGATTGATCTCAACATATCCGCCCCCTCCATGCAGTACTTGGTTACGTTGAGCAACTCGGGGTTCTTCGCCAGCATCGTTGCCTCACCGCAAAGTTGGTTCAGCGCCGACACGATCTTCTTCCCCTTGCTGCAGAATTCCCTCCATCCAAGCATACATTCGTCGGCAGAAAGCTGTCCGAAAACTTTGCTGATGAACTCTAAGGCAACCCTCATAGACTGCCCTTCACCTTTCATCATCCCGCGGCCCTTGGCAAAGTAGTACGCAGAGTATGCATAAATAGCGGGGACGCCTATGTCCTCGATCCACTTCACGCACATACCCAGGTCGCTGCTCATCTCCATCCTCTTGGGTATCCTCTTGCCTTCCTCGATGGCGTTCTTCACCAAATTTCCCAAGAAGATTGCTGCTTGCCTAGATTTCCCCACAGGCACGCAGAAGAACTCATTTGCATTGACGACATTCGGATTGGCAGTCATCTTGATGATATTCTCCAGACCCAGGAAAATCCAAAATAAGCAGCTGCAAATGAAGCCACGGAATTGTCCCAATGCGATCCCAGCTTCAGATTGAGGTGACGAACTCGTCCAGCTCCTCCTTGAAGCTTGGGGTTCGGGACTGACCCAGCTCCCCGTATGCACCAGAGGTTCGGGACTGACCCAGCACCTCGGTTGTGCAGTTGGGGTGGTGCAGATTTCGCTCGCAGTAGCTTGGTGCTTCCGCGATCCCCTTCGCGTAATGCAAGCAAGAGCGAGTTTCAACGGTGCCGGTTTGAGGCACCTTGCTCGAGCACGAAAACGGCGAAGGATCACACCCACAATTATTGACGAGTACAACTGGGTTTCTTTGGTTTCACGACCAGCACAAGGTCCATGCTCATGGTTTCCATTGCATTTCTTAGACAACGAGCCACCAAGTTCAAAGTTCCATGATACAACTCTCCATGGTTTCTTGATTGGCATTGGTTTCTTTGCATATCTTTGTTTCAAGCCATAGCGACACCCATCAAACTCGTGACTAGTCCCATCATGCACGACCTCATGCAGTCTCTCATCTTTCCAATAATCACCACTTCCAGGCAACTCAAACAAGATCGCAGCTCGTTTTGTCATGGCATGCCGTTTAATTTCAACGAACCGTTCAAACAATCTCCAAAATTCTCTTTGTTTGGCCTCGATTTTCTCTGCGGTGTCAATTCCGCGAGTCTTGTTGAGGCGTGCCCATGATGATCCCCCCGTGCAAGGCCCGGCGAAGAACAACAAATAGGAAGGTTTGGTAAGCACATGTCTGGCGATTCTCCCCCCGTACTCGCTCAGTAAGTCATCAACCAGAGTTATGGTGACAACCTGCGGCCCGTCATGGCGGGCAAGAGCAGTGAACCAGTTACGTGGTTCGAAACATGCCATCAGCACGATGGGCCGAGCCAAGTCAACACTGTAAAGAGTGACGACTGTGCGAGTTCTCATACCAGGAAGCGAGACATGCACAGGAGCGCGAAGCACACCACCGTCGTGTTTAACCATCGCGAGTTCAATACCCGGCGCTAACTGTGGCTTGTGCTTCACCGCAATGCGATACGGAACAAAACAACGACCAGGGACAAGCTGCTCGTGATTGATATGCAGACAACGCATGAGCAATTTCAATCGGAGAAACGTTTCCAAAGCAAGGTCGTTAACACACTTCAACTCTATGCGCTCGTTCGACAGTTCTTCAACAAATGCGGCCAGCACGGACTGCATGTCAACATCCCCGGACCCGACGGGAATTGGTCGTGGTCGTGGAGACCGTTCCCGCGCCGGTGCAGCGACCGGTACGGGATGAAACTGCCAAACTGCGCGTTCAACCCAACCATCAATTCGCACACATTGTA